GGGGGGGGGAGGGCAAGTGTTCAATTGAATCGTAATCTCAATTTGTTTATTTAATTGTTCGATACCTATGATTTTTTTCACTTTCAAAATAGGAAACATGTATAAATTTTTTTTTCAATTTATGAATCACAAATTTTCGCCATGAATGATTAATTCTTCATTCGTAAACGTGAGAAATATTGCTCTTCAATTAAGCGTATCTAAGTATCTTTCCAGTTTGGTTCAGACCACACTACAAATTCAACCATTTTCAATCATCAAATTTGTCAATTAAATTACGTGCAAAAAATTTGGAAAAAGTCATGATTTTGAACAAATGATTTTTATGGTGAAAAATTGATTGTTTATAATTTATAAACAATAATTTATAAATTATAAATTATTTATAGTAAGTACTCGTAATTTTCGAAAATTGCAATATTATAATTATTTCATCAATCTTCCTCAAAAAGTAAACTTTATAATTTTTTTTCAGATTTTTTAAATGTTTTCTAACGGTTCTATAACGAGATTCAAATTCAGACATGCAAAATTACAATAATGGAGATAATCTCATAATTCTAGCTGTTAATTCTAATCACCCGTGCCCGAAGAAAACCTTAGTAAACGCAATATTAAGAAAGCAGAATTATTCTATTTTCCTTTGACCTAAATGATTTGGACAATTATGATTCGTTTATTCATGTTTCATAGAATGGCATTCAATTCTCTTTTGTTTGTTAGGCGGCCTTCATGAAAATTCGACGCAAGACGATTGTATTCATAAAAGTAGAAAGAGTTATTATTTTACCTTCAGATACAACTCCGGGGCAATTCTCATGAACAGATCCATATTCAAATCGTTGTGATGAGTGACAAAGGGCTTGGCAGTGGCTCCACCAGCTATCATATTCATCATGGGAGTCTCAACCTCCAGGAATCCCATGTCATCCAGGAATTTCCTCACATAAGCGATGATTTTTGCCCTCACGTGGAACTTCTGCCTGACTGAATTATTCAGGATCAGATCTAGGTATCTCTGACGGAATCTCGTCTCCTTGTCCTTGAGCCCAAAGTGCAGGTGTGGCAGTTGATGCAGGCAAGGACTCAACAGCGTGATCTTACGAGGGAGAATGGAGAACTCCCCCAGTTTTGTCTTTGTGGGAACACCAAGCACCCCCACAATGTCCCCACGACCGATTTTCTCGTTGTCAGAGAGAAAACTCTCTTCGTTCTCGTAATACTTGGCATTTGCCATTATCTGCACCTTCAGGCCCTCCCCCCTGAGGTCGTAGAAGATGAGTTTAGCACCTGCTCTTCGGATCGAGTGGATCCGCCCAGCAATACTGAGGACCTCATTCTGCAGGATTTCTCCCTCTTTTACCTTGTCCGAGAACTTCTCGATAAAATCCTCCAGGGATGAGGATACGTGGAATTTGTGGGGATAGGGACTATCATTGGACTCCTTCAGCTGATTTATCTCGTGGGAACGGAGTTTAAAGTATTCCTGGAAGGCAGAATAATTGTCTTATTATGAAAGAAATTTTTAGAACAAGGGAGATTCATTTTTCAAGGGGAAACTGCTATGAGTTTTAAAAGTCGGGGGCTATTGAAATGAGATTTCTCATGCATTGAAGATCGATTATATGTCTAAAAACCAATAATTAGTGCAACAAAAATTGTTTATTGTTCATTTTAAAAATAGTGCAGGGCTTCCAATTTTTGAGCTACAAAGGTTTTTTTCAAAATTTTTGAAAAAATGTGAGCCAAGACAATTACGAATTATTAGTATTAGTATTCTTTCAAATATAAGTTTTGGATTTTTTGGATTATATCGACCCATTATAATCCAAAAAGTCAGAAAATGCAATTATTAGACCGTCTCCATACATATGTGTATATTTACTACACGTATGCACGTGTGTAGAAAAGTTTTTCTTCAATTGTTCGCTAATGAATGGATGGAATTGAATCTTTTTTCAAATGTAGGTATTGTTGAGCCCTATCGATCGCCATGAATTAAAATTTAATTCATCGATTAGTTTTTTTAATTTTTTAATTTTTTCGAAAATCGGTTGTCCCACGATAACTAAAAAATGTTCTGAATTAATTGAATGATGGCTTAAAAAAAAATTTTGGATGTCCCTTTGACCGAGTTCGAAGATGAAGGCGACAGCAATAATCGGTATTTTCGGATTATTCGATTGAAATTCAGCATCACATTTTCCTTTTCCTCTGGACTTTGGATTTTGCTGTTTTATTCATTTTTCCAATTAACCCATCGACAAAATCTCATTAATTTTTCATTTTACTGAATGGAAAATTATTATTCTCATCAGTACTCCCAAGAATAAAAAGAAGTTAATAAAGAAAATATGTAATAAAAAAATTTTTTTTTGCTTGAATTGCGTCAGTCTTTTTTTTGACGGTTTCATTTTGCCCCACTCTCCTTATACTATATACAATACAAGCACGATTTCCCACTTGTTTCAAATTTTTCTCACCCAATTTAATTGACAAATTCAATGATTAAAAATGGTTGAATCTATAATGTGGTCTGCACTAAACTGTAAAAGGTACTTGACTATTCTTAAATCCAGTAACTTCTCCGCAATTACCACCGATTATTATTTCATAAAAATGCCTATTCACATACAAAATTCATGCCCTGAATAAGTGATTACCCCAAAGTGGTCGTATAAATGGTGTTCTGTCACTCTCTCAATATTAAAAAGATGAGAAATGGTTTTCAATTAATATATTCACGTCAGAAATATTTGACCCAATTAAATCGCAAGAATAACCAGTGATAAAGTAATAACCAGTCTCTAAAGTGAGAGACTGGTAATTTGCATTTTAAATATGTATCTCTCCAGAAACTACGAAAGCCAAACTTCTCTGAAATTAGTAAGTTATAAAAATATGTAAAAACCAATTGTTTCCGCACAGAAAGTTCAATAAAAAAGCATTAGTGAGTCAAGAACTGCTGTTTATGCAGTTAGAAATGTCAAAATGAATGGGAGGAACTGAGAATTGTTTTTAGAAAAATATAAAACAATGAAGGAATTGTTCCTTACGTTCGGACTGATGTCAACATTATTCAGTCCATCCTTCTTATCGTTACTTTTGGCATCACTCTTCTCAGCAGCGACTTTTGCCTCCTTCTCCGCCTTCTCCTTGAGCTTCTGCTCGGCTTTGAGCTTTCGTTTCAGCTCACTGCAACGATAATTAGCTATTAAATCTCCTTGAACAGGAATCTACAAGAATTTACCTTCAGAAATGAGGTGATAAAACGTAACTGTTTTCTGTCAACAGTTTTTGTTGATTTTCTCGAGAATTATTAGTTCTTGGAAAAAAAAGGGTCTGAATCTTTTTTGTAGCCCTGAAAATTTCCGACAAAAAATGTCCTATGGTATTTTTTGCTAAAACCAGTCATTATCGAGATAATGACCCAATTCTCATGACAATTAAATAATTCTCAATTTATTCAAAGCTTCGATAATTCTGGAAATATCTCGAGAACAGTTGTTCTTAGGAAAAAATCCATCTCTATATCTTTTGTTGCCTTGAAAATTTCCAGTAAGAGATATCCTGACATTCTCTCCTAAAACCACTCATTATCGAGATAATGATACGATTCCTCCTGATGATAAAATATTTTCACAATTTACTCAACTCTATCAATTAATTTTAGAAATATCTCGAGAATCGCTGCTCCCAGGAAAAAATACCATCACACCTTTTTTGTAGCCTTGAAAATTGGCAACAAAAAATGTTTCATAACATTTTCGTCAAAACCCACCGTTATCAAGATAATTCAACATTTAGAAACTGAGAAAAATCAAATTGTTTTTTTGTTAATTTTTATCACTTCACTACCGTCTAAACTCATTTCTCCGTCTTTTCAATTTTTTCCAAACGATACGCACTTGAATGCAGGTCCACCCACCGAGATATGACGCAATTTTAGACATTCAGTGCTCGCACACGAGTCCGGAAATGCCGGTGCCAGGGTGCAAGCCAGATGTTTGGTTATCCGTCGTAACATTGTTAAAGTCAAATCAATTGTTGCCCTTTCCCTCGAAAAAATCCATGGATTTTGATTTCAATCGAATCTAAAGAACTCTACGTCGAACGAATAATGATCACCGAGTGGATGAGCATTGTTGTAATACTAGTTATGCACTAAAAACGTGGGAGACACAGAAGCTAAATTTGCATCACGAGGAGGTTATGAGTGTTTACTAGGAATTGGGCGGTGAGAAAAATTGAGGGGGGGAGGGAGGAGCCTTTCGGGGAGATTAGGACGTGATAATTTCAGGTGTTACTCACTTTTTGGACAGTTTTTCACCCGCCGATTCTGCCATGCTGATATATTATTTTGTGGAAAGGACCTGCCGAGTTGAAAAATGAAGTGACGACGGTCTCAGACAGGTGGCGCTAGGTTATACCTAGCGGGGATTTTCGAATATTCATAGGTTTTACACGACGATAATCCAGGTGGAGAGATGATAAATTATTACATAATAACAATTGGATAACATTTTTAGTCTCTAATTCTCAATTTTTGTCATTTATTCTATTCATTAGATCAAAAGACAGAAATCGAATTTATGGGTATTCTTCTATCATTCGAAAAAATATATCGATTTTAAAACTCCGCAAACACTGAAACATTATTTTTATTAGTCTTGCCGCCCACTGCTTTTTTTGCATTTTTTCAATTTTTTACCCTTATTTTGACCCTTGTAGCCCTTCATTTAGGAGTCTTAATTTCGAGTACCAAATTTTTATCACCGGAAGTCGATTCGGATTTTTCTAATATAGAGAGATGATAGAAAATTCGAAATTTGCAAAAATTACTACTATCGCCTTCATCTTCGAACTTGGTCAAAAGGGTACCCAAACAAATTTTTTAAGCCATCATTCAATGAATTCAGAACATTTTTTTTAGTCATCGTGGGACAAACGATTTTTTGAAAAATTCAAAAATTGAAAAAATTATTAAATGAATTAAATTTCAATTAATGTGGATGGAGAGGGCAACAATGCCAACATTTGAGAACAAGAACTAATTTAATTCCATCGATTTCATCAAGAAAAAGAAAATTATGCAAGAAAAAATAGCAAGCTGAAAATTGCCAAAAATAAAAATTCTCCGATTTTTGATGATTGTTTTTGTCTGTTCATTGTATAATTATCTCATTTGGGTAAAAACGTCCGAAGATCTTTTTTGTAGAAAGTCAAATATTCTACAAAAAAGATGTTTTGACATTTTGTCCTGAAAATAGTCCTTATCAAAGTAATTCGGTAGCGAAACGGTAAACCGGGTTAAGTCGATTTTGACTATTCGCCATTTTTTGACAAATATCTCGGAATCCAAAAGAGATAGAAAAAATTTTGCTATATCCTTTTTTGTAGAGTCAATTGAGGGTGATAAAAAAGTTCGTGAGAAAAATTTTGCTATCTCTCTTAGACTCCGAGATATTCATCGAAAACTGACCAAAAGTCAAAATCGACTTAACCCGATTTACCGCTTCGCTACTGAATTAAAGACTTTGGAATAATGAGAATTTTTATGAAAAAGTACCATCAAACCGTGATAATTAAATGATTAACATGTTTGTAGTATTGAATTATGTAATATTGCTCCATTCTGTTATCACTAATAGTTGAATTCTCTCAGTAACGATTCAATTCCGGAAAAAACACACGGTCCATTTGTAAATGTTGCAATTCTCAATAAAAAATTCTCTAATTTTTTTTATCATGAAAAATATTTTTTCCATGTTGAGAATGGGAGTTGTAAAATTTTGTATTTCTGTTTGAATTGATAAGTATCTTTATCTACTGAGATAAAAAAATTGGAGGAAAAAAGAGAGAGTTGTTCAATAATTTATGTAATTGAAAAACATTTTTTTTCCAATTTAATTAACGAATAATTAATCACTTCACATGAGAATTTTCATAAGATTGGATTGATTGTATTGAGATTTCATGTCGAATCGTTACCCCTCTCCTAGTGTTCTAGGGATTATTCGTCACCATGACAACAGCACTCGTTGTATCAATCCAACCCTCTGAATATAAATACAAATTTATATTCACGTTGATATTGAATAGTAAACAGAGATTATTTTTGTGGAAATGGACGGGTTCAGTTACTCCGATATTAAAGCTCTCCAATCGTTATTAGTGCCGGAGAAGGATGATTCTGACTCTGATGATGACCTCGATCAAAAAGGAAAATACAAATTAGGTATTAGATCCAATTTTTATCATTAAAAAAAAATCATGTTTCCAATAATTTTTATCAAAAATTCCAATCGCAATTAATAAAGTCATGAAACTTGACGAACTTGATTGAACTCGTTCAAAAATTCTGGTTTATTCATCATGAGAGACAAAAATCATTCTCATAATTTAATTTTAAGAATAAATCGAAATTATTAATGATTAAAAATTTGGCTCATTCTCAAAAATTTCAAAATTGAATTGTAATAGTAATTTTCGTTGATTATTCTAAATGAATTCTACTTTTTGAATCAATTAAAAATTTTTTTTTCCGGGGTGAACTTCCCCACAATCTCAAAATCACTTCTACAGTTGCTTTGTTCAATTCATTTTAATTTCCATCTATCAAAAATATAATGACTGAATTATTTCAATGTCATCATAAGGTCCTGGACACATTGGACCCCCGAAAGATTCTAAAACCGCCGAAACTGATCCCCACAAGCCCCTGAAACCGGTTGGCAATGACATTTGGCATCAATCGGAAATATCAACAACACAAACCACCGAGGTTTCGGACCCGAGAGCGCAACCGGAATATGAAATTAAGTTCAAACAGGCAGTTACCACTGAGGACGTATTTCTTGGTGTTAGTACCTGCAATTATCAACTTGTCTTAATGCCTGAGCACATATTTCAGACGAGTAATTAACACTGGAGAATTTATTTTTCATCGTTTGTGTCAAATATTGAACGTGAATTTGCATTTTAAGTTGCGAAAATCAAATCTGGAGACAGTGAAAATGGGAAATCATCATAAAATAAGTGGACAGTTGCATTTTTTTCATAAAAAATAGTTATTTTTGTTAATACATTAGCAATTTTCTTCCGAATGGATCTCCTTTTTTAATTATTATTTCACTATTGTCTTCTATTTTTTCATATCATACTACTATCATCAATTGAAATGTCATCAAAATTTCGCGTATTATTATGTTCTGTCAAATAATTCTACATTCAGACCCTCTCAAGACTCAAATTCTTTTTCAGTCCGGGTTTAATCAAGGTTCAATCAAGGTTTAATCAGTGGATAGCCGAGATTTAATGAGGGGTTATTCAGGATTTAGCCAGAGTTTAACTCAGGCTTTGTCAGAAGTTAGTTGGGACCATGAATCAATATGAATAAATATTCAACATAACAAACTGGTACCTGAGTTTAACAAAAATAGAGAGTTTTACATAAAAAGCCCATAACGGTATTGTGTAACTTGATAAGCAATGATGCTGTTCTCACCACTTTTCAACTTGATTAAGAAGCCATTGAAATATACTTTTCATATACTAATCACGAAAAACCCGATTTTCTCCTTCAAATCACATCAACAATGTGCTGTAACTCAACAACAAATTGTGCAACCCCCATCATATTCTGATAGAATCCAGAGGGTATTGTTATTAATTTTTTGCGCCAATTCCATTTTGATAACAATTTTTTCAGTGATTTTTGAAAAATCGATGTTCGAAAAAATGTCAATTTTTGCGAATCTGTATGAAAAATTGAATTTTTGTCACTCCGGCCGTAGGCAGATTCACGGACGCGGAGCGTCATGCCCAAAAATATTGTTCGTCATACGGCCAAAAAAAACTTTTCTGACGAATATGATTGCAGCCCTCGCGTTCGGCTCGTGCTGCAAACCTCATATTCGCCAGAAAAGGTTTTTTCGGCCTAATGACGAAATATACTATTTAATTGGTGTCAATGGATAGAGTTCATTAAATCGATATTCATGCACAAATTTATGGAATCCGATTGATCTTTCATACGGAATACATATAGACGGACATCATCTAAAAATCGTACATTCGAGCTTTTCAAGCCATATATAGTTGTTTAACACAAAAAATTGGAAACTTGAATTTGAGGGATTACGAAGCTTCTACTCGGAAACAAAAAGCCCTGTGGAATATTAATCGGATATTTTCGTTTGAATCTGGGGAGTTGAGTTATTTAGACACAGTTCTAATTAATAATGCATCTAAAGCATTATTAATTATTAATAGTTAATAATGCTCCTAGTGAAAATCGTCCTAGTTATCACCTCTCTGCATTATTAACTATCTTGTCCTGATTTTTTCCATGAATTTCGTAGATTTTCTGAACAGCGAAATGATTTGCAGAACTATCTCGAGGAGAATTTCCCTATTTTTATTGAATAATGAGATATTGATTAAAAACTTCCACTGGGCTACTTAATTTTCTTTTATCCACTGACGCGGGACTCTTATTATAAATTATATGGATTTGCAGATGGGGTTCAAGACGCCTGGGTCAGCGTCCTGTGAGTGGCTGACGATTTCCATTAAAATGCCAGGGGAAATGAGGGAAAAAATGGATCTTAATGTGGAAACTGACTCTGTGGATATTCGAAGTCCCAAGTAAGAATCAAATAATTATTTTAATTTTTGCTTCTGAATATAAGCTTCGTAATCGATCAAATTTTAGGTATTTATGGCCACGTGGCCATGTAGGCGGTAGGGCGGAGGGGAATTGATTGTTCTCTCGCAGAAAACCAATTGGTGAACAAAAAAACTGTATTTGAATTACAAATTTTCAATCTATTTCGACCATTTTTGTGTTCGAAATATTTTTTAAAATGACTTTTCCATTTTTTCCTTACATATTTCAAGCCTCTTTTGTGTTTCTAACTTGTCTTTTGGATAATGAGAAAATAATTAATATGGATAGAAAAAGTGATGTCATGCCGTTCGAGGTACAACTTGGTAGCACTGATTCATTCAGCTGTTATGTTCTTTCCCATAGCGAAATGTGTCATCACAATTCCATTCGCATTTGCCGCGCTTACCCCTCTACAATTTCTAACCTCGACGTTGTCGTTATTCCAAGTTACGCACGCAGAAATCCTATGTTTCATGAATTTTTTCATTATCCCTTCTAAACAATTTTCCTAGGCCACTTGGATTATTTTTTTATGTTCCTCCATGAAAGCTCCACCTAAATGCGAAATCCCAAGAAAATGACGACTTTTTTTCGATTTGTAATATTTTTTTTCGAATTCCCATAAGAGGCCGTGTTTTTTTTATTGTTATTTTACATCGCGTCGACTCGGTCCAGTATATTGCGATGGTGATCAAGACTTTAAAAATGGTTGGATCTCACCATTTTACCTGGACGGGATTTGAACTCGGAACTTTGCGCACGTGAGGCAACGACATTACCCACTGCGCCCGGCCGTCGGGCAAGAGCCCGTGTTAATAGTATATTTTCCACCAAGGGATGGAAAATAAAGGAGTCGTGCCCACGTGCAGAATTACCACCCGAGCCGAAGGCGAGGTAAGCACGTGGGTAAGGGTCCTTTATTTTACCTCCCGTGGTGAGAATGTTATTTTTCGTCACAGCGTAGGCGGAAAAGCAGATTTTCCTCCCGCGAAGCCATGGCGAAAAATGCATTTTTTAGAAAATTTTCGGTGCTTCACGCATTCTCCTAGGCAATCGAGGATTTAGCATAGGGATTTTGAAAAAATCAAAGAATGTATAAAAAAATTTATCAATTTCTTTACTTTTTTTCGACCTCCCCCGACTACGCCATAAATACCGTAAGTTTCGGATTTGTTGTGTTACATCGACCCATTACGGTTTCAAAATATCGAGAAATATGAACTTTGGATTCATTGAACATTATCAATAAAAAAATCACATGACCAAAAAAAATCATTGTGAATTTTTCCTATTTTCATCTTGAATCTTTGTAAAAACTAAATGAAATTGAATGAATAAATTCCACTCTTTCAGATATCGACTCCACTTGCCCACCCCCCACTCAGTCGACCCGAATACCTCTTCAGCGAAATGGCACGAGGACTCATCAACTCTCGAGTTGAATCTAAGAATGACCCGAGAGCTGGACGGTGTGAACTTTTAACTCCCCATCAGGTACCGAATGTTTTCCAATTAAACGTTCGACGTGAAATTCCCCCGATAACAGCGTGAAGAGACTAGTAAAAAAACGTTCAAAATAACGAATAAAATAGAATTCAAAAAATACATCTCTCGAGCTTTTCCTAATTAAACACACCACTGTGACGAGCAATCAATTAATGGCCCCCACGATGCTCCTATTGATCGTGAATACAGTTAAACCCACGTCGACTTGGAATTTACACGTCGATAATTTCTCCTTTATGTTCATTTCAACTTAATGAAGTCACAACAAATAAAATGGTTGGGGCAGTTTATTTAATAAATCGAAGAGAGTAACACAGGATGAAGATGCCTTGAGATGGATCTTCACAGATAAGATCCAAACTCGATGTTGATAAAATGACTGTCGTTCCAAGGGGCTCCTCTCGATGTTCAGATCATTGACAAAATAAAGGGATCCGAAGGGGGATCCGCAACAATATAATTCTGTGTTTAGCATATTACCATCTCGTATTTTCAGCACCAAATTAAGAATTAAAATTTAATTTGGAATATTGAGTAACAGCTTCTTGTTATTCATATCAGAAATTTGGTATTTGGATATCAATATTATTTGTTCAAAGTGAAAAAAATCAATTTCCATTTTTATTTTATTACATTCAGATTCTCCGATCCTTATGATCAAAAATGTGAGATGATCTCATAATTCTAGTTATTAATTCTAATCAATCTTGTTTGAAAAAACCTTAATAAACACAATATTAAGAAAGTAGAATTGTACCATTTCTCCCTAACCTAAATGATTTCATAGAATGAAGAATACATAATTTTGTGCATAAACTTTAGAAAATTTTACCCAATTTATTTCATGTGCACAACAAACATTACATTGAGTACAACTGTGAACGTTTAAAAAACTGATGCGCACGTTTCATTGAATTTTTACACTTGTGCACAAACCTAAATGTTTACAATTATTATCTGCATGAATGTTTAATAATTGAATTATTATCTGCATTATCTCGACCCTGTAGAAATAATGATGGATAAAAAAATTCTATTTTCTACGCGAATGATTTATCCACTGGAGTTCATGACATTTCCTGGCATAATAATCATTTTAATTAGTCAAAACCATTCAAAGACTGACGAAAAATTATTTACACCAATGAAAAATGAGAAATAATTGAAACACGTTCATCACCTTGCAATCCAACAATTTTACCTCCGAAATTTTTTATCAGAATAATTGAATGGAGCCTCGTCAATCCCCTGAAACGTTAAATTCGGGCTAGATTGATGCTTCGTTATCTCCCCTATTTAGTTGTGCCCATTGAACCGCAGTTCAGCGATGAAGGCTGGTGAAACTCGCTCGCTCAGGCCGCATTTGAAAAAAAAGGGGGGAGAAAATTACAAAATTCGTGCTTTATCCGGGATTTTTTCTCCCTTTTTCTTTCAGTTTCTACTTCCTTCATGACAGAGACTATCCACTATAAATTTGTGTCAGTTGGTGCTCACATCAGATGAAAAGTGGGAAAAACAATACAATATGGTTTCAATTTTTTTGATGAATGGGATTGATCGATGGGGTTTCGATTTTTTAGAGGGAAAGTTGAAAAATATTTTCATGAGATTATCTCGGTAATGAGATCCTTTAGAAGGAACTTCATAGTCATTGGGTAATGTGCACGGTTTTTTAGAAAGAAATTCAAGTAGACAGTGTGTGAATTGCACGGAGACAAAATTTCAGAAAAAATTACGTTGTTGATCGAGGAAGTTCTTCCTCACGGTATAGTCATCTCCATATTGAGTAATTTTCAGCGAATTTTCCAAATTATTTTTTCGTAGAAATTCTCAAAAAAGTCTTTGTTTTTCCCAAAAATCTACGATTGAATGTGTAATCGATAATAAACACTCACTTCAATCAATCGTCCTCATTGCATCCATTCATTGTCGTAAAATGTATACGGCAAATTGGACGATTTGCACCATGACTATCATCCAGTCTATTTGCGGTTGAACGAATTAGCCATTCAATCAATTGCACTGCAATGAAGTTCCAGTTGTGTAAGCACTCGAAAAGTCAATAGCAACCTCGAAGTTTACCGCAACTTCAATTAAAGTTGAACGATTGTAGAGCGATTGTTTCGTCTTGATTAAAAACAAATATATAAAACAGTTATATCGAGAAAATTAATGGAAAGAAGTGGGCAATTGCTTTCAATTGTGTCAATTATGGTGCCTGTTTTTGCTAATGAATTAGCAATATTCTTCCGAATGGATATTGCCTTTTCATTGAACTTTGCCATTAACTGATGATATACGTCCCCATAAGACCCTCATTACCTTTATCATCCTTATCACCCCTATGACCCCCATAATACTCTCATAAGACGCTCATATTCAGGCGTCGCTGAAAGATCAGGGGACGCTACCCATAGCAACCCCCCATAACAACCCTCTAGTAACCACCCATAGCAACCCCCCTAGCAATTCCCTATCAACCCCCCTTGCAACCCTCTTAGTAATCCCCCTAGCAACCCCCTAGCAACTCCCCATAGTAACCCCCCTAGCAACCTCCCTAGCAACCCCCCTCATATGACCCTCATAAACCCCCATAAGACTCCCATAAGACTCTCATATGACACTCATAAACCCCCATAAGACCCCCAGAAGACCCTTATATCGCCCCCATAAATCCCCGTATGTCCCCCATAAAACACCCATAAGATCCCTATAAGACTGCCATAAACCCCCATAGACCCCCATAAGACTCCCATAATATCCCCATAAAAGCGTACCTTGCGCCAACCTTGCGCCAACATTACGCTGACATTGCGTTAACCTTGCGCCAACATTGGACCAACTTTGGGCCAAATTTTTGAGAATAATTCAAAAATTAAAAGCGCAATCGACACCATCTTCGAACTCGGTCTCTATAGCATAAAATAGTATATTTCGTAACGAGCTAAAAAACATTTTTTCACGAGTTACGAACAATATTTTTCATCACAACGTGGCGGAAATTGGACTTTTCATCACAGCGTGATGAAAACGTATATTTCTAGCCCAGATTCGATTGATTCAGGTAATTATTTTTGAAGTAATAGTGAAAAAACTGAATCGGTCACATACACACATACACACGCACATATATACATACATACGGAGAGGGTCTAAAAACATCAGATTCGTACTCCTGACCCAAATTAGTCATCTTCACGAAGAAAACGGGAAACTTAAATTCGGAGGAATACAATGCTTCCATTCGGAAGCAAAAAACGAACGGCCAAAGCGAATATCAAGTAAAAACGCAAAAAGTTGGAATTAATATTTTTTCTTTAATAAAATGTGTGATTTTTTTTTCTTTTCTCGTTGTATTTGAAAAATTGACTGTATGAAAATGTTGTGAATTGAGAGGCCATATTTACCCTATAAATTTTTCAGAACCCAGCATGAAAAATGATGTAATGAACGAGTGAAACTTCCTCCAAGTCTTTAACTAGTAGTAAAAAAATTTCGAATTCCCATTAAATCAGTTTCCTAGAATACAAGAAAACTTCTCAAGCGAACCTTCCTTCCATTTATTCGAAGTAGCCCTCCTCAATTCGCAATTAACGAGGGATCGGCTTAATCAATCTCCGGGGAAAGTCGTTTCATATCTCCATTGTTTTTTTTCTTTTATAAAAACCCTCGCCTGTAATAGTCACAGTTTCAAACTTTACAAATCATCTAACTTATTCCAACGGAAAGAGTAGTGTTGGTTATTACAATACAGATTAGCAAATGTCCAAGAATATTGGCAGTTAAATCATAAATCATAAATCATAAATCATAAATCATAAATCATAAATCATAGACGGGTTGGTCAACACCATCTCATTAAATTTTCGTATGGAGAAATTATATCAGTGCGGCCGAGAGAAATGGAGTTATGGGTTTCGGTATGAATGAGACGATTTTTTCAAACAATGTTATAAATTAATGAACAAAGATATAATTGCTCCCGGTAATCCACCTCACTTTATTGTCGTCACTGGAGCGGAAATAGCGTTATGTGTAATATAACGACTGCGAGGTGTATGGAGGTATAACTTCATTATCCCCTGCCTAGGCGATTTTCTCAATAATTTTTATAAAATGAATGAAATGATAGAATTCGGAAATTCCTCACGTATTGACCTTATGTCGTCCAAAAGATCTATTCTAATAATCTTCTTATAAAAGAAAAAATTATGAAATGTCCCTATGGCAATCAAGATTAAGTGGGATGCAGTCAAGGCCTCGAGAAATATTTCCATTGACGCAAACAATTTATAATCCATTCACCGGATTGTGATATTAATTTTCTACAAAGACTTCTGCGTCTCAGGTCAACTGATCGAGATTTGAGGAGTGATTCATTTGAGGGATCAAACGAGCTGTCTAACAAGCCCCAAATGACGCCATTTTGACTTGTTTTTTTCTTCGAGTGAACACGTGACGCGTAATGGCGGTTACGCGCCTCCACGACAGGTCAATTAATTCACACATCAAAGATAACTGGAAACGCGAGGAATCACGCAATGGCAATGATTTACAACGGGATTTGTAATCTGTGGGGGATTGTTATCTGCTAATGATCCTCATGACCTTTAATTTTCGTATTGAAAAGGTCGGAGATAATTAGATAGGAACGAGTAACGAGGATATTGCGTAAACCGGCGATTGATCTCTAGTCGAATCAATTATTAATCAATTTCAGTATCATCATCGTCGAGATGAAAAATATTGATAATTATCAATCGGTAGATTATTGTTGATTCACGAAGAACATTTGTCCTTGGATAAACGAAAATTTTTGATTGGAGATACAATGTGACGACTTATTTCACCTTATTATTTCTCTAGATACAGGCGAAACCATTGTTATTTTCCACGATATACTAATGCGATTCTACTAAAAAATCGTGATATGAATATTTAAAGCAAAATGCGTTGGTATTACTCTAGCAAACTACCTCGGTGTTACTCTTGACAAGAAGTTTCCTTAAATATGATTATCAGTTTTTGCTACTTAATTATGAAAAATGGGGGAGAAAATTCATTTTATGCCACTCATGCCTGAAACCGGC